TGTGATTGTGATGATGATGGTGATGATGATGATGGTGATTGTGATGATGGTGATTGTGATGATGGTGATTGTGATGATGGTGATTGTGATGATGGTGATTGTGATGATGAGGATGGTGATTGTGATGATGGTGATTGTGATGATGATGATGGTGATTGTGATGATGGTGATTGTGATGATGGTGATTGTGATGATGATGATGGTGATTGTGATGATGGTGATTGTGATGATGATGATGGTGATTGTGATGATGGTGATTGTGATGATGGTGATTGTGATGATGGTGATTGTGATGATGGTGATTGTGATGATGGTGATTGTGATGATGATGATTGTGATGATGACGTCACAGAAACAAGCAACATCGTCATCATCAGCATAACCCTCACCTCGATACATGCCAAAGAAGCCCTCTTTCCTGAATGTTTTCACTGCACAGTCCCATCTTTGTAACAATGAAATTTATAATAATAATAATTATAAGAATAATTATAATAATTATTATTGTTATTATCATTATCATCATTATCGCCATTTTTATTATAACTGTACAATGAATAGATGAATGAATGAAGGAATGAACGAATGAATACATAGACAACAGTACAAAGTTAATAAACGAAATAATTAAATGCATGTATGTAACATAACAAGGCCAAAGATTCTTGGTGATGATGATGACGATGATGATGACGATGAAGATGACGAACAATAATAATATCTACAAATAACCACAACAACAACAATAACAACCCCCACAACAACAACAACAACAACGACAACAATAATTATCACTTTCACTCCAAACAAAAAAATAAATACCTTGTCTAGAATTTGGATAAAAAATTATTACAGTTATGCAATTATTCACGTATGTTCGTGTTTGTGTGTACATGTGTGTGCGTGCGTGTGCGTGTGTACATGTTTCTATTTAATGTATCAATAATGATCCTAGCAAAGTAAATGTTACTATGGCTCTTAAAAGCAATCATCCTATGTACTGTTTGTATGTGTGTTTGTATGTACACTTGGTTGTGTATGTATGTTTGATTGTATTTGTATGTATGATTGTGTATGTATGTTTGATTGTATTTGTATGTATGATTGTATATGTATGTATGATGTATATGTATGTATGATTGTATATGTATGTATGATAATATGTGTATGTATGATTGTATATGTATGCATGATTGTATATGTATGTATGATTGTATATGTATGTATGATTTTATGTGTATGTATGATTGTATATGTATGTATGATTGTATAGGTATGTATGATTGTATATGTATGTATGATTGTATAGGTAGGTATGTATGATTATATGTGTATGTATGATTGTATGTGTATGTATGTATGTACGATCTACATACAGATGACCAATGAAACTCACAGGTTAGCATACATCTTGCTTCCAACTTGCTGGTTCTGCAGTCTCGTCTTCACCAAGTCGATCGGGAAAACACACGTCACTCCCACGATCCCCGCTATGCCTCCATTTATGATTTTTGGTAACAGCCTGGTTTCAGGAGATATATATATATATTTGAATTTGAATGAAGTGAATGTTCTGTCCATCCATCTATCCATCCATGTTTGTTTGTCTGAAAGATTGAAAAACTGCACCCAAAAGCTAAACATTAAAATCGGCATTCTCTCATTAAATAAAAATAACAAAATAGTCGAAAATTGAAATATGCTATTTAAATTAAATTCACTTTCAGGCCAAGAAAAAAATCCTCACTTGAAATTATCGTCGGCCCCCATCGTGCTTACAAAATTCCAATCTGGCCAAAGACACTAAACAAAACTTTCCTAATCCTAACCGACTGACTGCTGGCAGATGCAGTGGGCTAAAATTGTCAGTGACGATGATGATGTCGGCGCTGGAGGTGATGATGATGATGTCGACACAGGTGGTGGTGATGATGATGATGATAGTGCGAATGTGAGGCCGCTATCATTTATTATCACCCAAGGTTCTTATTTCTTTGTACGATTACTATTCGTTTAAAAGACTATGGAGTTAACTGCCTGTCTAATTTTAAATAAATAAAATTAATAAATTATAATTTATAAATATTAATCCATTAATTAAAGACTTAATTAACTAATTACTCTTAATTAAAATCCAAATTTAATCTAGAACCAATTGAGCAGCCAGCGATTTTCATATTAATTGGTTAATTATCAACTATTTGGTTCATTAATTAGTAACATAAGGTAACTTAGCAGAACATTAAATAACAAAACGCATCTTAACTTAATGTAATTTAGTGTAACTTGATGTAACGTAATTTAATTTAATTCCCGGGGGAAAACCATAGCATTACTTTGTCGTTGGTTTAATGAATAAATGAATGAATGAACAAAATTAATCATCTTTCTTAACACTCCGTAATGTATATGTCATACATACATACATATATATATATATATATATGGAATTATTTATCTATATAGATATATACATATATATTAGAAAGAGAGAGAGAGAGAAAGAGAGAAAGGAATAGAGAGAGGAAGAAAGAGGGAGAGAGAGAATTACAGAAAATAGCCAATCAAGTGACAAATAAATGGGATAAAAATAGCAATAATAATAATAATAATAATTATTATTATTATTATTATTACAATCACAATAAGAGTAAACAGAATTTGGCTTTGAAAATAATAACAACAAAAACAACAACAACAACAACAATAATAATAATAATAAGTGCTGTCACAAGATCAAAAAATGGTAGAGATAAACAAATCTCTCACTTTCATCAGCATCACCATCATCACCGCCAGCATCGCTATCATCATCATAATTATATTGTGTACAAGTCATTTTCAAATGTTTGTTTGTTTGTCTGTGCGTGTGCGTGCGTATCTGTGTGTGTTGAGAGATAGTAACCCCACAAAGAATAGCAATCCTACTGATGGGACGATACATGTTATTTATGTAACGTGATTAATGTCATTTTGATTGGTACATATTAAAACCCTCTTCATATTTTTTTCTCTTTTTCTTCTCACTCTCTCTTTCTCTCTCTCTCTCTTTCTCTCTCTCTTCCTCTTCCCATACATACACACATAAGTATATATGAACATATATGAACATTTATATAATCTCTGTGTGTGTGTGTGTGAGTGCGTGTGCGTGTGTGGGTGCGTGCGTGTGTGTGTGTGTGTAACTAGTAACTACATCAAAGCACAATCAAATAACCAACCTATATAAATTTTTTAAAAATGCTGTAATAACTACTGCTGTTGGCATCAATGTTTTTTGATGTCATGGGCAGGCATATGTAGAGATACTTTTTCCTCTTCTCTTTCTCTTCAATTTTCAATATTTCTTCTTCTAGTATAAAAAAAAATTAATTCAATTTAAAAAAATATTAACGATAATTAATGAGTAGTGATGAAAATAAATTCAAAATGAAACATTTATCTATATATATATTTCAAAAACATTTATCTATATATATATTTTTACAACGTCAAAGTTCATCTTGACAAAGTCAATATTTTCCTATATATACAGCAAGGAGCACTGACGATGATTCATTCGGAATCGAAATATGGCCTTATTTGCAGCATGAATTCGAAAAATAAGTTTATTTTGAATTTTAATAAACTAAACGTTCACCAAAAAACTTTAGTGAGAAAAATTGAAAAAACGAACTACAAACGTATTAAAGCCAAACATTCGGTAGAATTTATAGAATATTGTAAAAATTATGGTCTATTACCAACATCTATATATTTATATATATATATATATAGAGAGAGAGAGAGAGAAAGAGAGAGAGAGAAAGAGAGAGAGATATATAGATACCGTAGATACAGAGATAAACAGATTGATATCATTAAAAAACTAAAACATTCAAAGTTTTAATAGCATATCTTAAAACGCTTCCTGTACTTAAGATACTACAGAAAACATGAAAGGATTTCAAATTTAATTATATATATACAGATACATATATATATATATATATATTTATCTAACATACATATATATACATATATATATATGTATGTGTGCGTGTGTATGTGTTTGTATGTGTGTGTATGATATGAAGACATTTTTAATACTGATAAACACGAAAAGGTGACAGAGAGATAAGGCTCAAAGTCTCCTTGCTACTCAAAGTTCTTCTCTATGTGTGTGTGTGTATTATATACACATATATTATATATATATATATTATATATGAAATATTTATGTACTAAATTATAATATATTATATACTATTTATCATTTGCATATAAAAATGTAAATATGCTATTTGATCTGATATTGTGAACAGAGGGTGGCAACTAATAGAAAACTCAACTTTATAAAAACATCTTGCTATTTTAGGCAATTATAAATTATTATTAATAACTTAATAATTAATAATGATGTTAGTTTATTATATGATTATTACTATATTAATTTAATTCAACTAAAAATTCAAAAATTTTTTAAAAAATGAAAAACCATTTAGTTAGAATCTTCTGAATTGTTTGTGTTCTGTTCTGTTCTTTCTTCGTTTCTCTGTAGTTTTTTTTGTTTTCTTCTTTCTTTCTTTATAACTCAAAAAAGGGGGTTCAACAATACAGTAAGGACCACCACCCAACCAAGGACCAAGCCAAGTCTGTCCTAACTAACTAAACTACTCACGCTTACACCAATAACAGCAGCAGCAGAGCAGAGACATTCACTAATCACTAATCGTGACCTAACTCCTCGGCTCGAACAACGGATCTGGCCGGCACGCAAGCTGTTTTTAGTTAAAAGAAAGAAAACAAAAGCCGGACACACACACATGTCCTCCCTTATTGTTTCATCATATAGAAGAACGCCAACCAAACATTTGCGAGTTCGCAAATGAACATTCATTCATTATTCGAATCGACCGACTTTACGAGGAGTTTCGAATCTGCCTGAAGCCTTTTCTTTGTAGGATATTACACATATTTAAAGCTTTTAAATGTTTAAAAAATGTTAAATACACATAAAGGTTGCAATAAATTACGCCTTCGCTGTAAATTTTAATAAATTTTTACTATCTAATTTTTAACCTTAATTAACTTTTAAAATATTTTTACCTGAAATTTTAAAAACACCTTTTCGCGGCATTTTGACAGCCTGCTTTTGGAGTCTGTTATCTGGGACTACCTGCTGAATTACGCTGAAGAGAGAATGGAAAAATCGATTTTTCAAAAAATCTTGTCCAAAATAATGAAAAAGATGTCCGATTTGCATGAAAATGTTGACGGACATTTCTTAGTTCTTACATTACTTAAGACTCTTAACTTAAGAGCCCTTGCAGGACCGCTCAGAGCCTGATTTACATTTACTTGGCAACTGTTAAATTTTCTTGTTTAATTTTTTGGTAACGCAAAACATTCCGCTCAACAGAGTCGCCAGAGGTTTTTTAAGTTTGATTCATTTAATGAATTTTTGAATGAAATTAAAATTTATAAAATTGTATGGGTGACGCGTTCAATCCAATATTTAGAGGTGTGCACAAAATCGGAGACAGTTTGGTTTTATATAATATTTTAGATGATAAAATTGTCTATTAGAATATACATGTATTTTGGAAATGTACACATAAATGGATTTTTGGCGATTTTTTAACTTTCTCGTTACCGGTGACGCAAATTTAGAAATGTTCCGGTGACGCGTTCAATCCAATATTTGGACGTGTGCACGAAACAGTATGTTTCATATGGTTGTTTAGAGGATGAAATTGTCTATTAGAAGATACAAGTATTTTTGAAATGCACACAAATGGCTCTGGCAATTTTTTAACTTTCGTGTTAACCGAATTCACTTTTAAGCCAACGGCAATGTGTACATTGGTTTCTATGACAACCTTTTTTTTAATTGTCAGTTGATTTGACTGATTGGCCGCTGATTTTACACTAATTGGTCTCTAATTTCAGAGTTTAATTCAAAATGACATTTAAAGCTCTGCCGATTTTGTACATAAATTTAGGCGGGGAGATGGTTTATATATTAAATCATCGCTTGGTAGCGCAAAACATTCCGCTCAACAAAGTCGCCAGAGGTTTTTTCTAGCTTGATTCATTTTTTTTATTAAAAATGAAACTAAAATTTATAAAATATAAAATTGTACACCTTTAATTTTATAAAACAAATAATAAAAACAAATAATTAGTGATTGGGGACCTATTAAAGACGATGTTCGATCAGAAAGTCATGCAGACGATGTTTCAGCCAGAAGCATTGTATTCACACAGCACTTGGAAGGCCCTGTTTGATAAGATTGCTCATTCATCTGTTATGAAACTTAATGCTACCAGCATGAATAAGGCAGGCTTGGGGATTCTAAATCTTTTATTAAATTGTAATATTAGTTCATCATTCATTTATTCAATCAATCAGTCAAGCATTCATTTATCATAGCACTGATTGATAGCAGCCTAAATAACTCATTAAACTAACCATCACCCCTAACTCATTAACATCATTCAAATTTATTCAGCTGTACGACTTGATGGTTATGTCGGTGAAGTATCAAATGGTCGTCTGCAAGCGACCGCAGGACATCCTTCTAGTCACACTGAACCACCTTGATGAAGTTAGGTCAATAGGACCGAGAAATGACGTCGTCCTTGACCAGATATTCAACACTGTCTATGAACAGCTTAGAATTGTTAGATGGGTTTTTCAGAAAAATTTCTTTATTTAGTCCATTTATTAACTCAACTTATTTATTCATTCATCGTCAATTCATTTACTCATTTATTCATCCATTCACTCATGCATGCATGCATTCAACCATTCATTCATTTATTCATTCATTCACTCATTCATTCACAGCACTACTCAAGAATGAGTGTCAGTAGTTTCATGCTCATCAGATCTTCCCTACTGCTCTTCTTCAAAGACAGCAAAATTAGAGTTCTGAACTTCAGCTATAATTAATAATAGCTTGTTAATGTCATTAATCGTAATTATTTTTTCATTTTGTATTATTATTATTATTAATATTATTATAGTAATTATTATATTATTATTAAATTATTATTAAAGATTATTACATTTATAAGGTTTCCTTATTCCTGAAGGAGAAGTTGCAGCATAATTCAGGCGCGTTTATACTGAACGTGTCTGGAGAACTTCCAATTGATTACCCTATTCCCGGCACTATAAAGTCTTTCAAAATTATCATAAACTATATTTTAATTATATTATTATGATAATTTATTATAGAATATTTATTATAATTATATAATAATTATTGGACGGCGCGATGGGTTTCTCGTTTTCGTAATCTCAAGTGCACGACGAGAGAGAATTGATTGATTTGTTGATTGATTGATTGATTGATTGATTGATTGATTGATTGATTGATTGATTGATTGATTGATTGATTGATTGATTGATTGATTTATTGGTTTTCTGATCGATTGTTTAATTTAATAATTCTTACAAGATTAATCCATACGTAGTATTAAACTATCAATATTGAACCATCGCAGTTCATGGAATCATTGTTGTAAACGATTAATTGTAGCTAATAACTGCCAGAATTTAACGGTGATAAAATAATTCTCCCTCCCTCCTAGAACTTTTGCAGGTGACGAAAGCCAGCCTATTTTAATAAAATTTGATTGCGGTGTAAGAGATATGAAGGCGAGTAACAAAAGGCCATCTTACGCTAATGTCGGAGATAGGATTATTCAACTCGGCCTTAATATGTTTGTTGCTTTCGTTGTTGTTGCTTTCGTTGTTGTTGCTTTCGTTGTTGTTGCTTTCGTTGTTGTTGCTTTCGTTGTTGTTGCTTTCGTTGTTGTTGCTTTCGTTGTTGTTGCTTTCGTTGTTGTTGCTTTCGTTGTTGTTGCTTTCGTTGTTGTTGCTTTCGTTGTTGTTGCTTTCGTTGTTGTTGCTTTCGTTGTTGTTGCTTTCGTTGTTGTTGCTTTCGTTGTTGTTGCTTTCGTTGTTGTTGCTTTCGTTGTTGTTGCTTTCGTTGTTGTTGCTTTCGTTGTTGTTGATGTTGTTGTTGTCGTTGTTGTACAATCATAATCGTCATTACAACAATCATCATCATTACAACAATCATCGTCATCATCAGGTACATCCCAAACAACAGCAGCGCTTCTCCGTCGAAATGTCAGCCAGTGACGTCATTTGGGGACAGCGCCCTTAGATACGTTAGTAGGGATGTGCAAATGTGTAATTATATAGACATATAAATAAGGATTTGCGGATATGTTAACTTGCATAGATATTTTAAATTCAGGAAGACCATCACTTGGACGAGAGAGCTAAAGCCCAAATTGACTTTTTGACCAAATTAATCGGCGTTAAAAAATCGAAATTCGGTGACGATGGTGAATTTGGAGGGGACAGGACAGCAGCCGGCGGTGATGATAATAGTTTCAAATTCAATTTGGATTTATTCGATGATGATGATGGTAGTGATGCTGGAAAAGGTAGCCAGGAGCAAAGGCACGTCTCTAGGTTTGTCTTTTTATGGTCCGTTTTTCAAGCTTCGTTTATATTTTCATTGGCGTAGCTATATTATTATTATTATTGTTGTTGTTGTTGTTGTAGATTTGTTATTATTTTTATTTTTCAGCTTCTGCAAATCACAGATTAACACTTTCGGCATTGATGCCTCTAAGGTTTTTTTTAAATTTTATTTTCATTAATATCGTCGTTATTATTAATTAATCCTTGGTTAATTAGACAATTGGTTAATTAATTAATTAACTTATTAATCAATTATTTAAATTTTATTTAATTTACTGCAGAGGAATCAAAACGCTCACTTGCAGAAAGTTCTAGACGATATGAAAGTTCTGTCGGCAACAGATAATGAAAATATTTATGACCTACTGGATGATGACGACGATGATAATTAATATATTATTATATTAATTATCATCTATTAAAATAATTATTATTCTCATTATTATTACTTTTACTATTATTACTACTATTATACTACTATTACGTACTACTGCTACCACAACTACTAGTTACTACCTATACTTTTACTGCTGCTGCTACTACTGCTACTTCAATTAATGCTACTACTGTATTGCTGCTTTCATTATTGTTACAATTGTTAATGTCACCAATATTATTATGATAATGTTGTTATGATATATCTGTGGTAGGTTAGGTAAGATTTATTTTTATAAGCAGTCCTACGTGATTGCAATTCTGTGTTAGACTAATTCACCGTAGCTTAGTCCCAGCAGGGCATTTTTAAATGTCAATATAAAGATTTGTGTTGTGTCTTAGCTAACTAAAACACTCCAAAGAAAATTTCTCCTTTGTTCGGCTTAACTAATTTGTGATATCTATGATAATTATTGGGTGTGTGTGTATGGGGCAAATTACATTTGTTACTGCTATCATTAGTTAATCAGCTAAATGAATTACTTTTTAAAGAAGCGCGCGCTTCATAATGAAAAACTAAAAATTTCCACTTTTACACGCACATTAGACTAGTAGATGGACCCATGTTAAATTTGTTTATTTCATTTTTAAATTTTTGAATGCAAAGTTTTTAAAGTTAAAATTTTTAATAATGGAGGACTCGGATGACGATTTTACGGCTGTCATCAAAGTTAACAAACATTTTGAAAACAGATATGGCGGCGACAATCGGCAGAAAGTCAATGATCGTGGTCCGAAATTTTCAACATTTTTTCCAGCTAACTAAACATTTTAAAATTGAACAATAAAGTTTATTTATCAATAATTAATTTTTTAATTTTGTATTTATTCAATGTTCATTTGTTTTATAATATTTGTAAATTTTGCAATTTTATAAAATGTAACCATTCTCTCCTAAAAACAAACAAGAAATTTTCAAAAATTGTCCAAAAATAAATTTTTCATTGACAACTCCTAAACAATAAACTCCTCTCAAACTCTAACTAAGTAAAACTTTATTTAATTAATTGTTTTTTGATTGAATTGAATATTGAATGTTTTTGTTTCCTACTTAACTCTAAAAAAAGAATTGGAATGGTTAACTCAAAGAAGTCACTGCACCCAGCTTGACCTTGCCTCCTTGAAAGCCAGCCACATTGAACTTGAATTCAAGTACAAACTTCTCGAGACACAACTAAAAGACGAGAGATTGAAGTTTGAATTTGAAATGGACAAGAAAGATAAAGAAAATCAAGTGAGGGAGGGAGATATTGACACAAAGAGAGAGACTTTTTCAATTAAAAATCATTTTTTAAATTAATTAATTAATTATATGATATGACCCACTTTAGTTATAATTGAATTGACAAACAACAAAAGCCATTTTTAAATTAATTATTTAATATGTATAATCTATCTTTCTGTAATAATTAACAGTTGATCAGCTGACACATTGAATTCATGCACAATCAGTATTTACTTAAAAATATGATACTATCCTAAATAATTTAACTAAAAATCGTCCCCCAGCTGAACAAAGTGGAAGTCTCAGACCTGAAACACCAACTGTCAATCATCTCAACGAAATACGAAACATTGAAGGAAGTTAGTGAAGGAGTTAGGAAAGAATCCGCCTCTCTTAAGAAGCAGATCTTGGATAAAGAGAATATAAAATTGTCATCTTCACTGACTACACAATTAGAACTTGATAAGGTATATTTATATATATATATATGTTGGTAATAGACCATAATTTTTACAATATTCTATAAATTCTACCGAATGTTTGGCGTTAATATGTTTGTAGTTCGTTTTTTCGATTTTTCTCACTAAAGTTTTTTGGTGAACGTTTAGTTTATTAAAATTCAAAATAAACTTATTTTTCGAATTCATGCTGCAAATATTTCGATTCCGAATGAATCATCGTCAGTGCTCCTTGCTGTATATATAGGGAAATATTGACTTTGTCAAGATGAACTTTGACGTTGTAAAAATTAATTTTGGTGTTGTAAAATTGAACTTTGATGCGAATTAGGTGTCAGGTTTCTTAATTGGCTGGTCATCTTCTTTGGTCTCTTTTTCTTCATCGATAGCATCATATTCTTCTTTGTCACTATTTATGATGCTAGTTAACTAGGGTTAACTAGCAAAGTTCATCTTGACAAAGTCAATATTTTCCTATATATACAGCAAGGAGCACTGATGATGATACATTCGGAATCGAAATATGGCCTTATTTGCAGCATGAATTCGAAAAATAAGTTTGTTTTGAATTTTAATAAACTAAATGTTCACCAAAAAACTTTAGTGAGAAAAATCGAAAAAACGAACTATAAACATATTAACGCCAAACATTCGGTAGAATTTATAGAATATTGTATATATATATATATATATATATACACAATGCCTGCCTGTCTGAATGTCTGCACAGTGTACACACGTGTATATTATGTTTGTGAATCATCTTTTATGATGCTGATGTTCGTAAGGATGAATAGTTTATTGTCGTTATTATTTTTTTGTTATTATTATTATTTTTATTAGTAGTAGTGGCAGTAGTAGTAGTAGCAGCAGTAGTAGAAGTAATAGTGGTAGTAGTAGTAGTATTAGCAGTAGTAGTGGTAGTAGTAGTAGTAAAATTATTTCAAGGTAAAGCAAGATTTCCAAGTCTACAGAGCAGCATCTGTGAGGGAGATGGATTCTTTGAGGAGGGAGATTAAAGAGATAGCGAGTGAGAGAGAGGAGGCTAATGTTGAGATGAAAAGATTGACGAGGTTGTTGTTGTTGATGATGATGATGATGATATTGGTGATGATGATGATGATGTTGCTGATGATTCAATTCAATTCAAATTAACTTTTATTCAGTAAAGTATTTTAAAGAGAGAAGCTAAAAATTTTAAATTAAATTGAAAAATAAAGATGATGATGGTGATGAGGATGGTGATAATTTTGTATGTTTGTCACTACTATAACCATCAAACAAACACAATCATACATTCATATACGCATTAACGTGTATACAAACATACACACCCACCCACCCAAATAGAGACATACATACATACATACATACATACATACGCACATATATGCATACACATACATTCAAACAAACATATATATACATTCACACAGTAAATTATCTGACTACAAAGATATCGAAAGCCAGTTAGAAGAAACAAAATATCAATTGAGTTTGGCTGTACAGAAAAATAGGGTGAAAAGATGATAATGATAACGATGATGGCGGTGATGGAGATGATGATGAATATACGTATGTATGTTTGCATGTATGTTTGTATGTAAGTTTTTGTGTATCTTCATCACCATCAAACATTATCACCAACTAGGAATCAGAGTTAGAACATTCCAGAGCGGACGAGTTTCTGGCCAAAGCTGAACTTGCAAAAGCAAAACTCGAAAAAATTGAAAGCCTGACCAGTGAAAATAAAACACTGAAGCAAGAATTGACTTATTATAAGTTTGTTGTCTTTGGTGTACTGTGCACATACATATCCACATTCGTACATATATACAAACATTCGCTCAAACATACATGCATACTTACATACAAAGGTACATACATTCATACAAGATACAAACAGACATACAAACAAACAAACATATGTAACATGATGTTTACGCACATACACAGAGTTACTCACAAGAATTATGATATAGTCAAAGAACAATGCATTGGCCTGCAGAATAAACTCGATCGAGCTTTGACGAACTGCCAACATCTTGAAGATACTAAATTAGAGAATGAGGTTGTGATGACGATTGTACTGGATCGCGATTGTGATAATGAGTAATGGTTGTAATGGTGTTTTAAATTTGATTAAAATTGAACTTAAATCGAATTATGTGATTGATTGATTGATTGATTAATTAATTAATTAATTAATATCCTCAGGTCCTGAACAAAAAGTTGAAAGAATTTGAAAAGTTAATTAAATCTATTCCTGGGGCCAAGTTTGTAATAATAATAATAATACTGATGATGATGATAATAATAAATAATAATAATTATAAGACGATGATGACTATGATGATGATAATAATTAATAATAATAATAACGACGATGATGATGATTGTGACAGGAATGCACATGACGTGATGGAGAAGATGCTAGAGCTGACGCACATCAACGAAAGATACTTGCGCATGTGCGGCGAACTGAGGAAGGAGTCAGCTATTGTTCCTATTACTTTTCTTATTACTCTTCTCGTTGTTGTTGTTGTTGTTGTTACTAGCAGTAATGGAAGTTGTAGTAACTGTAGTAGGAGTAGTTGTAAGAATTTTAGTTCTACTATTATTATCAATGTTGTTGCTGTTTTTATTATCATTTTATGTTGTTGTTGTTGCTAGAGTTATTGCCAGAGTTTTTGTTGTTCTTATTGTACTTGTTATTTTTTATTATCACTCACGTCATAGACAGAGAAGCATAGAGGAGGAGAACAGTACATTGAGATCGGAGGCCGATGTCTCGATGAAGGAGATTAATCAGTTGAAAACAACCACTGGCCAGTTGAAAAGAGTGCAAAATAAATTAAGACTCGTCACTGCTGTAGGTTCTTTGGAGTTTATTTTAGCTGTCTGTTGTTTCTGCTGTCAAGGCTGTTTGGTTTTATGTTTGACTGTTTTTTGGTTCAGCATTTAAAATTCAGCGCACACAGTCATGGTGTGATGTTAATTTTAACGCAAATTGAAAATAATGTTATAACTTAGTTATAATATTTCAACGTAGATATAAAAGGCAGATTTAAAATGAAATTAACATCGCAGGAGAGAGACAACTACAAGAAAATAATCGACACCTACGAGCGAGACCTCACGCTCTCGACGTCAGCCTACTACGAAGACTGCAGTGACGGCACTTCAAACTCCTCACAAAGACAACAGCAAAGAAACATTAACAAAACGATCAATAATAACAGCAGCGTTAATAACAATAGGACGACAACGTTAACCCAAAGACTGCAGCTGCTAGAAACCCAGTATAACAATTTAGTGGCTGATTATAAGAAGTGTGACACTGAGAATAATGAACATCTTCAAAAGATTGAGAAATTGAATGAAAAGATTATCGAGGTTGCTGTTTTTGTGTTGTTATTGTTGTTGATGACGTCATTGATGATGTCATTCTTGTTATGGTCGTTGTTTGCTACGTTCGTCGAATTTCCCCGTCAGCTGGAGCACTCATTGAATGATAGAGAAAAAGTAGCAAGGAAGGTGATGATCATGTCCCGTGACGATGATGATAAAAGCGCTGATGATATTTTGGTTAAGTCTTTGAGGTGAGTGAAAATGATGAGGACGAGGATTATGATGAAGGGAATGATGGTTTAGATCAGGGCTGGGCAAACTGCGACTCGCCAAAAAAAAAATTTCGTCAGCCAGACATTATGACCAAAAAAGGAACCACAAACCGTAAAAAATTCTCCCCCGGGTCGAAAAAATTTGCTTTTTAAGTACAGATGCGGCCCTTCAAGGGTAAAATAGTTCTTAATGCGGCTCTCACAGCAAAATGTTTGCCCACCCCTGATTTAGATGTTGATTAAGTTGATTATCATGTAACCAGTGGTGGCTGCATTGATTAAAAAGATGACCGTGAAGATGATGACAGTGATTGAAATGGTTGTGATGAAAATAATAATAAATTTGATAATAATAATTAAAACCAACAATAGAAAAACTATAGAGGAATTGAAGAGTAAATTGTTAGAATCCGAAATGAAGTATGAGAGGCTTGAATGCGCCATGGATGCCAATGACATGAGAGTTAGTTACAACGATAAGGGTGATGGCGACAACGATTAAGATGATGCTAAATTGTCTATGTGTGATGATGAAACAGATGATGGTGATTTTAAAAATGATTAAGATGATGAAGGTTAGTACCAGCAATAATAGTAGTTATTTTTTTAGGGGGTTTATAACCCTGGGCAGACCCAGGCAATTATGATGAAAGGTCCTAACCCTTATCAAACGTTCAGGCAAAAAATTGTACAGCAGCTAGAGAAGAAGGAAGAAGAGAACCAACATTTGAAGGTGTTTTTTTTTTGTCTTCATTAACGTTCTTTGTAAATGTAAAAATTACGTTTTAAAAATACTTTAACACTTACCTTACTCATTAATTGTCTTAACTTTACGAGTGTTACTCCCACTTTAAACATTTATAAGACAATAATTTACGGAACTATATTTTCAATTATTTATAATTAATTATTTTATTATTATTTCCAGATGAAGATAAAAACTCTGATGGAGACCAAACAAGACGAAGACCTGACAGTTAAAACAAACGCCATGATCGCCTCACTTGGCTCTGTGAAGGAACAAGAAGGTATATAAAATAACTGTGTATATATTTATAATGTAATAAATATATGTTATAATATATAATATAATCAATATATATTATAAAATATAAGAATTGATCAATAACTTTGATTGCAGAGCTGAAAGCCCAGTTGCAGAAGGTAGAACTCATCAACAAACGCCTGACGGAAAATTACGAGAAAATCTCGCAAAATATCAAAAAACTAGTGTCCACTTTACTTGGCTACACGTTCGAGAAAATGGGCGAAAGTCTATACAAACTCTGCAGCATATTTGCTAAATTGCCCGACGAGTATTTCCTTATATCGGTTAGTTCATTGGAAAAAATCCTTTTTTTAATGGTTAACAATAAATCATCAGATCATTAACAAACTTGAACACATGAATTTAATGCATTTGAACGTTCAAATAACATTTAAATGAACACAGATTTAGTAAATTTAACAAATTTGGTTTTTTTTTCAATTGATAACAACAGATTTAATTTAATTCAATATTCGAATAAATAAATTTAACAAATTCATTAACTTTCGACCATCATCAACTTTTCAGCAACTGCCAGATGGTGAATTTGAACTGTTGGGGAATCAGTACTCTGAATCATTTTCAGACCTCATTGAAATTTATTTAAGAGGTCCAAACGCTCTACCTCCGTTTATGAGTGCCGTTACTTTGAGACTAAGGGGTGATCTTCAAGACGATACCACCATGATTGAATGATTATTAACTGTAGGTCTTAATGTTGGGTTGGGGTTCTGCGGCCTTGCAATTAATAAACTTGTTTTTGTTACCAAATGTGGATTGTGTCATATGAACTATTAGAACAATTTTTTACTATCACCTCGTAGCACATTCAATTTTTGTACTTTTTTTAATTGAAAAAATTATGAAAAAATATGTTTTGACAATTCATGAAAATAAAACCTTTGTTCAAAATAGAAGTTATGTATATCTACACTGACAGATTTTTAACAACTCAAGCATTTTTACGTTGCAAATCAACTATCATTTTTTAAGTTTATTCTTCAATGTTAGAACTTCATTTTTAATCTCTTCATAATTAACACCATAAACATTTTGAGAAACAGTTTGTGGTTCTTGGACATCATTCAAAAATTTTGAAGAATGTGGGTGTTCGTCACATGTTTCACAGATATCATCGTCGTCAGTAGTTGCACAATCATTTTCAGTGGTATTATTTTCAATTTCTGGGCCCATATCTGCTTCACACAGTAATTTTTCAATCTCTATTGTTTTTACATGAGACACATCCCTACTAAACTGAATTGGGGGTATATTTCCCATGACTCTCAAACCTGTTAGCACTGTTCTCAAATCAGCAGAGCATTTTGGCAACAAGTTCATTATTTTCTCCTTGTTTTCAATGTTCACATCCAACCAAGAAACGATTATAAGATTGAAATTAGGAGTTACTGTAACATCTGATACTTGAAATGCTAATTCTTGTAATTCAGGGCAGACTTCACCAGATTCTAAGAGGCCACATATGTAACTGTAAAACATTGAACTCAATCTTTTGACTCTGGGATTGTTTGATTTTGGTATTCTACCTTCATAAATACTTTTGCTCTGTAATTCATCTGCTCTGGATAGTAATATTTCTGCTTCTACCTGTTTGAAAATTAATAATATTTGTTATATTTCTCTACAATGTAGATTCATATTATGGTAAGTGCATTAGAAAGCAATTTATAACTGATTTACACTTATTCAAGTGAATATTTTTGTAACATATTGTACATTTATTATATATTTAGAACAAATACAGTACTACTGCCTTATATCAGACATAGTATAAAATCGACATGTTTTCTGTATTTACTACTTTGACGTTAGAATTACTTACAGAACTCTTGTATGTTTAAAATTTGAGTTTTTACTAATTTTACTACAAAATTTAAAAAAAAACTTACCAAGCTGTGAAAGTTAGGAGCAACGTTTTTTGATTTCCTAACAAATAATAGTAAAACAAATTTATTAGAAAAACATAATTTTGCAATATTTTAATAATAGAAAACTTGAAAAAATGTGGAAAAGGTAAGAAATAAAAAAAATAACTTGCGAGTTTTTCCGGCTATGAGATCTGCCGTCTTTTTGAGATATCTCTCCATTCTTCTGTCAGAATTCTTTTGTACTGAAGACATCATTCTGAAAAAACTCAAATTTTCAGGATTAGTGAAGAAAGAAGCCGTAATTAGGCAATTTTTGAGAGGAATGATGCGTACGAGTTTAAACATTTTATCGCCCATTATAAAAAATGTAGCATCCGATCGGGCTATTTGAATTCATTGGCTTACCTATGAAGTTGCATGGGTTTAAACGAGCAAGCTACATGAAATATATACTAGACTTATTATGTTTAAAACAAAATTTATATTAACAATAATATAGTTGTAAAATGAATATGTTGATTTATTTAAAGCTTCAATTTATATGTTATATTCTATTTATATTATAGAACATGTTATATTCTATATATATATGTTATATTATAGAACATGTTACATTCTATATATTCTTTATACATGTTATATTATAAAACATATTATATTCTATATATATGTTATTTTCCACATATGTATATGTATATGTTATATTATAGAAGATGAATGCCAATCATGTCAAACAGCCTAATCGTAGTGACATCTATTAATTTTTAACCATTTTACCTACAGAGAGCAATCAGATGACGGGCCAACGAGTGTAAATTCATTACTACAGGTAGTTCGATGGTTTTGTATTTACCTTTCTTTCAAGCTGGAAATTTAATCAGCTTCAATAAAAGTAAGATTTTAGAATGATTTCACGAATAAATATTGGTATTTTATTTATATTTAAGTTTTAAAACTCACAATTACGCGGAAATGAAGCTAAAATTGTTAACGATATTTCTCCTCCTAAATTCCTTCAATTTCGTTTCGGGTAAGTCGTGGATTTATTTTATTTTAAGAATTTATTGCTAAATAAAGTGAATAAATTGAATAAGATTAAAATTGTTGATGTTTTTTCATTTATAATTTTATTATTTTATTCCAAAAAGCCCAGGGTAATGCCGGATCGCTAATTGGGATAATAATCGGCATAATAGCCGGTGTTGTGGTGATCGTCCTAATTTCACTAATCTTCTACTTTTGCTACTTGAAGAAACGACGATTAAAAGATACTGGGGATGAAAGACTAACTGCTCAAACAACATCACAAAACCAACAATCTACCTATTACAATCCTAACAATTACGTTTCGATTTCACATCAAAATCAACAAAATAATGCCCGAAGTCATAGCTACAACAACGATAATAATAATAATTCGTCAAATAATTTCACCAGCACAAATGCAAGATACAACCAACCACAAACAAGCCAACAATTACCATCACAGCCCCCACCGTATTCTTCAATACCAAACAACAACATCCACGGCAACCAGAGAGCAAACATCCATTACACTGAAACTAGTGGCCGACACCCAGTCAGGGAATCCTCGTCATTAGGACACGACAATCCAGCATTTTTTAACAGGAGTGTCAGCAGTTTTGCAGACTTTCCAAGTATGAGTGACATCTTGCTTACAAGCAGTAAAATGTCCATACCCGCTGCTCTGATGTTGGAGAATAGAGGCTCTCAGTCCAACAAGTAGTCATTTTTTTAAAACTATTTTTTATCATCATTGGCATTTTTTTATAAAATGTACTTAATTAACATTATTGGGGTTGCTACAAATGTTTGATTTGCATGATACAATACTATTTTTTAATGCTCAATTAACTTTTTCAACTTGACAGATTTTCAGAGGGTGAGAGAGGTGACAGTATACAATCAAAGCAAGCAGTCAGACACGCATACGACAACCCAAGATTCTCATATTCACCAGAAATGAAGACCATGCATAATAGCACAAAACATAAAATCAACGTCAAAAAAGGAAACAGGGATGTGCTGAATGAACATTTTGAAACTTACAGTGATTCAGACTCTGAGAACGTCAACTTCGATCCAAGTGAGAACTGGCTTGATGCAGACCTGAGCAGAAGATACATAAATAAAAACACGAATGAATTAGATTACTACAGGCCAGCCAAACAATCAAAAAATCGTGTAACATCACCTTCTACTGCTAGTAGCAGCGGGGAGAATAATTTCAAATCAAATAAACGTTCAAATAACGAGGCAAGTATTCACAAAACGTCAAACAGAAGAAATGTGGAAGCAGACGAGATGACATCATCCATAGATGCACCAAAAAAAATCAGGACTAGCAACAAAATTAAAAAATCTAAAAAGAAATCGGATTCTAGTGATTCGGGAGCAGAGGTTACGTTGGGAGAAATTAGTATGAACACCAAAGGAAAGGATCCTAATGGAACCTGTAAGAACAAATCTTTTGATAACAGACACAGTAAGGTTTCTTCTGATTCTGGCGTCGAAGAAGGTGCATTTTACGATTCAAAATTGAACAGAATTAAAAATAATAGTTCAAAATTGAAATGGGCTGTTGTTGATGAAAGTGATGTCCTCTCAACGATATCTAGTAATCAGTTGTCAACCGAAGTTTAGATATTTTACATGCAAACAAGTTAAATTGCGTGTGTGTGTGTGTGTGTGTGTGTGTGTGTGTGTGTGTGTGTGTGTGTGTGTGTGTGTGTGTGAAAGAGGGAAAGAGAGAGAGAGGAGAGAGAGAGAGAGAGAGAGAGAGAAAGCTGTATGCTTAAAACCTATCTAAAAACTGTCATTTCAAGAACGTTGTGTGATTTATAGTCCAGTTTTCAAATCGCAAAAATGTATGTCTCTTGTATATCTATCGGGCTTTTTTATTATGTACAATGTTATTATAGGGTTGAGGATGTTTTAAAGAGGAGTATGTGTTGAGTGTGGTTTCGAATGCCAGAAAGACAATATTTTTTCGCTTATTTAAATTCGCATACATACATATTTCAACTTTTCTGCCAACGTTCTCAACTTTAACATCATTTATTATTTCATAAAATATATCAACACTTTTGAAGTCCTCTAATGATTATTTTGATTAATAATGATATTATTATTATGTTAGATTGTTACTGAAAACTTCACAATTTATGTACTAGTGCCTTTCTTCTCCCAAAAATTTCCTGATTTGTTTGTTACCAGTGACTTTTTCATTTTTAATTTTTTATAGTGCGTGAGTTAATTGTTAATAAATGGCGAAGTATTTTGCCTGATAACTTTCAATAAAAATTTTCAGGCACCTGCCATTATTCATTGTTTGCTCAAGTTTTGTGATTATTTTAGAAGTTTCGTTCAAGAATTCATCAACTGTTTCTATATAATCAGGTGGAATTATAGTTACAAACTGCGTCCAAATAATTAAGATATTTATCTATGTATGAGAGTTAATATTGATATGATAATCTATCTGATTCTCAATTTTTGAACGAATTTTAACGAATGTAAGTTAAGGAAACTTTAAAAATACTCATTGTTATCAACTTTATTATCGAAGATCATGTTATAATTGCTGATTGCCTCATATTTTACCGACAAATATAGTTAACATGTTTTATATCCAGTTTCCAAAGTTTCAATTCATATTCAAAAAAAGTTTTACATTATTTTTTAACTTATTCGAAAGAAAATCGTCATTTTAAATTGACGGCCGGTTAATAATAATGATTTTTAAAAATTACACTATTAATGAATTTATCGACTTGGACTCTGGTAAAATTTAAAACCAGCTTAAAATTTAAAACTTAAGTTTACTTTTTAATTGTTGTCAAAATTTTGCATTTTTGGTTATTAAAAAATCGCAACTGCTTTTCCTTTTTCCTGTTTGCGTTAAGGTGGATATGGTTTTTTTGTTCTAAATTTACACCGAAATTTACAAGATTTAATTAAATTAATATAATAAATTAATAAAAACTTTAATTTTTTTAATCAAGATGCCTGCCGCTAAAGGTCCGAAGCAATCTGTCCAAGTTTACGGGCGTAAGGTTCGTTCGTGAATAGAGCATGCTTGATTTGATTAGTGAAATTGTAAAACTGATTAGGGATTTTTAAATGCTGTTATGGTTTTTTGTTTGTAATGCGTAAAAATCTTAAATTCATTTCTCAAATTTATTAACGATGCTGTTAGTTATACTCTTTTTCAAATTGAGAAAAGTTAGATTTTTTTTACTGATTTGTCATTTTTGTTGCAATTGCACAAAACCGTATGACAGAATTTTTTATATCTATCTGTCATATCAAAGCCAATTGCTATAGCAATAAATAAAGTGTTTTTTGTCTTTTCCAAACTGTTTATTTTATTCACTAATGAACAATTTTTCACAAGACAAACATTTAATTTCTGTTCTAGTTTTTTCTTTTGCTTACAGCATTGAAAAGGTTGTTTTGCTAATTTAGTTTTTGTCATAATTTAACTAATCTAATTCCTAATTTTCATCTACAGAAAACAGCCACCGCAGTCGCCCATTGCAAAAATGGATCCGGTTTATTAAAAGTTAATGGACGACCGATCGATCTGCTTGAGCCAGAGCTCCTTCGATACAAGGTCAGTAAATTGTCGTATTTCATGTTTAGAGAGAGAGAGAGAGTGGAAGATGAACACTGTTTTGTCATTGAATCTACTCGAGAGTCTTTTTTACCGACATCTTTTATGTTATTTTTAATTTGTAGTTACTTCCTATTTAAAAACTATCATTTAATGATCTGCACTATTAAAGAATTAAATGATTTATGTTTGATTGGTTGATTCATTTCATCACAACTAGGTCCAGGAACCATTGCTGTTGTTAGGCAAGGAACGTTTTTCAGCTGTCGACATCAGAGTCAGAGTGTCCGGGGGTGGTCGAGTTTCTCAAATTTATGGTTTGTTGGTCTATGGTTTATGTTAAATTTTAAAAGTTTCAAGTTATCATTTCTTTATTTTCATTTCTAACTTTCATTATTTAAAGATCTGTGATGTGCTTTTGTATTGAATTTTTTTTTTTGGTTTAATATAAAGATGTTTTAAATCTATTTTTGTTGAATTTTTCAGCCATCCGTCAGGCAATTTCAAAAGCTCTGGTTGCTTACTACCAGAAATGTAAGTTTAGACATCCTCAAATTTTGCTATAAAAATCCTTTTCTCCTAACTTTTTCAGTTCTTAGTGCACTTGTCATCAATTTTTTAATTAAATTTTTATTAAAATTTATTCAAACTTAATGTTATCAAATTTATTTAAAAAAAAATTAAAAATTTCAGATGTTGATGAAGCATCAAAGAAAGAAATTAAAGATATCCTAATCAGTTATGATAGGACTCTTCTGGTGGCTGACCCGAGAAGATGCGAGCCCAAAAAGTTTGGTGGTCCCGGAGCAAGAGCCCGTTACCAAAAATCATACAGATAGATTCAATTGATCATAATTTGTTCCCGTGTGTATTTGTGAGTGTGTTTAGTCACACAGTAATTACGATGGCAAACTGATGATGGTTTTTATGACACTGTTTCACTTGGTAGTCTGAAAAATTAATAAAAATGTCATCAAACATGCTTTGTTTTTTCTAAAATTTGTAAAAACTAAAAGTGAATTGTGGTAAAAGTCATCTTAAACTGAAACAAAAAGTATATTTCTCAATAATTGAGGCTTACTAACTTGAGATTTTTCAGAAAATTAATTGATGTCTTTTCTCCAGTTTCTTGTAGTACTCTATCTGAGCATGAAAATCTAAAATTTGGTAGTGTGGTATGTCGAATCTGCCTGATTATTATGTACCACGGCCATTGCTAAATAAGTTATGTATACTTTGATATAAATACTGCTAATGTATTTCTTTATGTGTGACAGTACTTAATGTAAGCAACATTAATACAACGTTGGTGACACCCACATGACATCAGAAACATTACATGAATAGTGATTGTAACATGTGTCTGTATATGACAGTTTGTTGACGCTAGTATTGTAATGTTTGTTGTGCTGCTAGAGTTAGTGTCACTACATTAAAAGTCAGCGAATTACCATCAAAGACATCAAGTAACATCAACCAAGACATCATCTACAGCAGTGTCATTCCATCAAACAACAAAACATCAACAACAATAACAAACGACGTCTTTAAACGTTTTTACTACGCTCATTTCATATTCAAGTCAGAAAACTCTGTAGACAATATAATAACGCTAAACAATACACTACATACTAATATACATAAGTTGCATTGTATATATGTATGTATGTACGAACGTCTGCATATATGTATGTATGTTTGTACGAACGTATGTACGTTTGTATATATGTATGTGTATGTATAAGTGAGAAAAAAGTCAAGTTTTTCTCGTCTTCAAAAATAAATTAGTGATTAGTTTTTCTTTATTGTTTCCTAAGATTGTTGTGCCTATTAATAGTATTGTTATAAAAAAAAACCAATCTAAATAACAAAACTCTAACCATTGTTGTTTTCATAGATTTGTCAAAAGCTTTCGATGTAATTAAAAATAGCATTTCTCGGGAGTAAGAGGGTTTGTGGATCTTTCTTCTTTCTTTCTCGTGCCATCGACCACCACAAAACTCGACCTTTAAGACTTTGTTGTAGTTGGAATGTGGTGATATTCAACAAGTGACCCAAGGACTTCACGAATGTTGTCCGTTATTCGTGAATACAATGGTTCAAAGTTCGTCAATACGTAGTTCAGAGCTATCAGGAAAACAGAGATCAGTGTGTGTTGAGTCAAAGTTAGTCTTAGTTGAACACTTCGTCTGGAAGATGTCTCAAACTGGTTCGTCAACAATAAACTCTTTGTATAGTTTTCAACATGCAAAAAGGTTCTACTCGGCCCAAAAATATTAACCAACACAATATCCAAGTTAGACATTGGAATTAACAACATTAGTATTCCATGTACAACCAACGGTAGTAGTAGTAGTAGTAATAGTAGCAACAGCAGCAGCCGCAGCAGCAGTAGTAGTAGTATTAGTAGTAGTAGTAGTAGTAAAAGTAACAAAACAATGTAGGTTTTTTTTAAATAAATGGCTCGGAGAGTTGGGTAATTGTGGTAAGAAATAACCATTTTGTGGTGTTAAAAGAGACAAAGCGTAAGTCAAGATGTAGAGGCCATTTAAGGAGATAGGCGAGGATTTAAAATGGATATTTCTGTAGCGCTCAACTTTTTTGCTTTGCACTGTTTCGTTGTTCCTTGTCACCGGTGTTGAATTGTTTCTAGATTTTTTTGCATGTTTTGTTTAATCAATTTTCATTGATTGCATGTTGAATGTTGTTGTTGTTGTTGTTGATGATAATGCGCTGATGTTGTTTCGATAATAATCTTTGTACGTGCGATCACACACCCGCTCGCACACACCACACACACACACACACACACACACACACACACACACATACACACACACACACACAACATTTCCTGACTACTTTTCCAAAACAAAAAAAGGTTATGAATGAAAGAGAAAAATTATTCAACTTGGCCAAAAAAATTTTATCAAACAAGCAAACGAATAAATAACAAAATGTCTACGAATGTAAGGTAAAATAAAAAAAGATTATAAATAATATAAACTAAAAAGATTATAAATAATGTAAAATAAACGGGACGTCCCTGACAGGAAGTAGAGATCGATCACGTGATCACATCATTTCCGCTCCGCGTTTCCGGTTACCTCGAAAATAGAGTTCGAATGGTTCTTTTTTACTTTTTTTTTCAGTTTCAAATGTTTGTTTTCACATTTGCTTGAATTTCGATAAGTTGTCTGGTTTATCTTGGAGTAAAATTGGAAAATAATTAATAATAATAATAAAATATTTCGTCTCCTTATTATTATTATTATTATCATTATTATTGTTTATTATTATTTTTAAATTTTTCAGATCAATTTCAAAATGTCGCCCAGATATACACGAAGCAGAATCTCGTGCTACAATAACACCTTATTATTATTTGTGTTTATTTATTTATTATTATTATTTATTATTATTATTATATATTATTATTACTATTATTATTAATTATCGTTATCGTTCTAAAAGCTTTCATTATATTGTATTATTTTTAATTAAAAAAATTTTTTTTACAAAAAATGAATATCAAATCAATAATAATAATAACGATAAGAATGTAATAATGATAATAATCCCTTTTCAAACGATGCTTTATATAATAATATTGGTTTTAGGACAATTTGAGTGCAGTAGGCACCAGTATGAATATACAAATGTACACACACACAAACAAACAAACATACAAACATCAGCATGTCCAGTACACACATACAAACATACACACAGATATACACATAGATGCTGGTATAAATATACGAACATACACACAAACAAACAAACATGCATGCACACGTGCAAACATACACACATACAAACATATACACAGACATACAAATAAACAAATAAACTTACAAACAAACATACATACATAAACACAAATGATTTATTGCTTGATAAGCCGTACAGCTTGATCCAACCCCGCAACTGCATAAATAAATACGTGGATGAATTGATAGCTACTGATGAATAATAATAATTATAATAATAATTATTAATATTATTATAATTATTATTATTATAATAGTAACAAATTGAATAAAATACATCAACATTAATAAACATAAACTTATTAGTACACATGTACCGAAAGTTTCTTCCAGTCTTAAAATAAAAATAAATGTATTGAAGCGTGCCAGTATACACGCAAAAGTACAGCGATACTAATGCTGTACTTAAAAAGAAATCCCTCGGTACCCGTGCACCCAGTACTTACATTTTGTATAAAAAATCCAACAAAAACTCTGAATGAATGAATAACACAATGCTGCTGGCTTGCTTTTTAAATTAGAGTTACACATTACAACACAAAAGATTTTGTGCCCTTACTTGTGGACCTAACAGCATATATATAGTTATATATAGAGTTATATAGGTTTATATAGAGTTATATAGGTTTATATAGAGTTATATAGAGTTATATTGGTTTATATAGAGTTATATAGAGTTATATAGAGTTATATAGGTTTATATAGAGTTATATTGGTTTATATAGAGTTATATAGAGTTATATAGGGTTATATAGGTTTATATAAAGTTATATAGGTTTATATAGAGTTATATAGAGTTATATTGGTTTATATAGAGTTATATAGAGTTATATTGGTTTATATAGAGTTATATAGGTTTATATAGAGTTATATAGAGTTATATAGGTTTATATAGAGTTATATAGAGTTATATAGTTTGTCTCGCTTTGAAATCAACTCCTTTTATTCTGCCAAATTGTGCAGACGTGCCAGAAAGTTCTCTATCGAAATATCACGATGTGAGTTATATCGACGAGCCAAGTAACACGTTTATCCGAATCTGGGATTGTTGAATAATCGAGAGATTTACGCGCAAACAAGCTCGTCTGTTAATTATTTAAACTTGCAATCCTTTTTCTTCCTACATAACCATACCCAGTAAGACGCTTGTTCGGCTGGGAGTCCTATGTTCTACATACAACTCGATCTTCTTTTACCCACCAAACCCAAATCCTTCAAAAAGTTGTACACTGAACAACCAACAACACCTCTTGCACCAACCTCAACTGCGTAATGTATGTATGTATGTATGTAATGTATGTATGTATGTATGTATGTATGTATGTATGTATGTATGTATGTATGTATGTATGTATGTATGTATGTATGTATGTATGTATGTATGTATGTATGTATGTATGTATGTATGTATGTATGTATGTATGTATGTATGTATGTATGTATGTATGTATGTATGTATGTATGTATGTATGTATGTATGTATGTATGTATGTATGTATGTATGTATGTATGTATGTATGTATGTATGTATGTATGTATGTATGTATGTATGTATGTATGTATGTATGTATGTATGTATGTATGTATGTATGTATGTATGTATGTATGTATGTATGTATGTATGTATGTATGGATGGCATATATTCTGCCACTTATATCACCCGTTGTAAAGATGAAAAGAAATTTTTTTCAAAAGAATTTTTTGTCCATATTATTAAAATATTAAATAAAAATTATTAATAGTACTCAAAATTATGACTATAATTATTAATAATAATTACATTGTTAACGGTTTTGATTACGATTTAGAATATAACTGCCTATATAAATAGGCAGTATATTCTTTCAAATTATTAATTTAATAGAATTTAATTAATTTAAATATAAATTGTTTTGTCATTATTGTTATGATAACAATAATTATAACTAATTATTGTTGCTATTAATCGTAACTTTAACATTAAACTAACGATTCAACTTTAATTGATATTCAGGTAATCGTGTTTTTTTTATATATTCACATATGTCTGTGTACGTGTGTGTACGTATGTGTGTGTTTGTGTGTATGTGTGTGTGTGTGTGTGTGTGTGTGTGTGTACTAAGAAATAAATGAATGAATTAACAAGTGATTTAATTGATTGGTAAACATTTCAAACTAATTATAATATTAAAATTAAAAAATTCTGTCGCAAAATATAATTTGCAAGTAGATTGATAACGATCGGTAAGCAATATGTATGTGCATTTAGATGTTTGTATGTTGTATGTTTGTATGTTTGTTTTTATGTATGCTTGTATTTATGTATGTCTGTATGTTTGTATGTTTGTTTGTATGTATATGCGTGTGGGCGAACGCTAAAATGCTGCAACATAATGAACACAATAAAGTAAACATCTCGAGCAAAATAATTCGCGGAAAACGAGGACGATGATAATGATGAAAATTGAGACGACGATGACGTCATTGAAAACA